TTAACCATTTTAAGAGTACAGTTCAGTAGTTTAAGTTTATTCACATTGTTCTGCAACAGATCTCTAGAACTGTTTCATCTCATAAACTGAAGCTATACTTGCCAAACAACAACTCCCCATTTTCACCCCCAGCACTTGGCAACCATCATTCTATTAATACTTCCAGTTTCTATGACTTTGACTACTTGGTATCTCATATAAGTGGAGCCATACAATATTTGTTTTGTGTGTGTGTGTGTGTGTGTGAGACTGGTTTATTTTACTTAGCATATTATTATCAAGGTACATCCATGTTGTTGCCTGTGATAGAATTTCCTTTTTTTTTTTTTTTGTAACTGAGACAGGGTCTCAGAACAGTCTCTGTTGCCCAGGCTGGAGTGCAGTGGCATGATCTCGGCTCTGCAACCTCCACTTCCCGGGTTCAGGTGATTCTCCTGCCTCTGGGATTACAGGCATTCACCTGTAATCCATGCCTGGCTAATTTTTGTATTTTTAGTAGAGATGGGGTTTCACCATGTTGGCCAGGCTGTTCTCAAACTCTTGGCCTCAAGTGACCCACCTGCCTCAGCCTCCCAAAGTGTTGGGATTGCAGGTGTGAGGCATCTGTGCCTGGCCAATTTCTTTCCTTTTTAAGACTGAATAATATTCTGTTCTATGTATATATCACATTTTGTTCATTCATCTGTCAATGAACATTTGGGTTGCCTCCATATTATGGCTATTGTAAATAATGTTGCCATGAATATAGGTGTGCAAATATCTCTTTGAGATCTTGTTTTCAGTTCTTTTGTGTATATTCTCAGAAGAGATGTCTTAGTTCAAGGCGAGATACAAAAATATCATAGTTTGGGTGACTTAAATTCATTCCTTACAGTTCTTAAGACTGGGAACTCCAGGGTCAGGGTGCTGGCCAGTTCAGGTTGTGGTGAAGGCCCTCTTGTTAGATCATCTCTCATCTGTCTCCTTATAAGGGTTTAATGCCACTCAAGAGAGCTCCCCACTAATGACCTAATTACTTCCCAAAGACCATATAGCTTCAACCTGTGAATTTGGGGGGAACATAAATACTCAGTCCACAGCAAGTGGAATTGCTATATCATATGGGAATTGTATTTCTAATTTTTTTGAAGAACCTCCATAGTGTTTTCTAGAGTGGTGATTATCATTTTATATTCTCACCAATACCATGTAAGTGTTTCAATTTCCCCACATCCTTACCAACACTTGTTATTTTGGGATTTTTAAAAATAGTAGCCATCCTGATGGGTGTGAGGTAATGTGTCATTTTAATGTTGATTTACATTTCTTATAGTCATGCGGAGTACTTCTTCATAATTTTTGTTGGTCATTTGTATATTATCTTTGGAAAAATATATATTCAAGTCTTTTGCCCCCCACCCCACCCCCCTTTTTTTGAGACATTGTCTCACTCTGTCACCAGGCTGGAGTGCAGTGGCACAATCTCGGCTCACTGCAATCTCCACCTCCTGGGTTCAAGCCAGCCTCCTGCCGTAGCCTTCTGAGTAATCCCAGCAGATTGCAGGCACGCGCCACCACATCCAGCTAAGTTTCGTATTTTTAGTAGATACGGGGTTTCACCATGTTGGCCAGGATGATCTCGATCTCTGACCTCATAATCTACCTGCCTTGGCCTCCCAAAGTGCTAGATTACAGATGTGAGCCACTGTACCTGGCCCAATTTTTTAGTTATTTGTGTGTTTTTTGAGTTGTAGGAATTCTTCATATATTCTGGATATTAAACCCTTACCAAATACATGATTTATATTTTCTCCCATCCCATAGGTTACCTTTTCACTGTTGATTATGTCCTTTGATGCACAAACATATTTAAGTCTGGTATAATTCCAGTTGTCTTTTTTCGTCTATACTTTGTGTCATATCTAAGAAATCATTGCCAAACCCAATGTTTTGAAATGTTTCCCCAGTGTTTTCATCTAGTTTTACAGTTGTTGGTCTTATATTTAGGTCTTTGAGTTTAAAATATAAGGGTCCAACTTCATTCTTTTGCATGTGCATATCTAGCTTTTCTAGCACCATTTGTTGAAGAGACTGTCCTATCCGTGTTGAGTGGTCCTGGCACCCTTGCTAAAGAGCGTTTGGCCATATATGTGAGAATTTATTTCTGGACCCTATTCCATTGGCCTATATGTTTGACTTTCTGCTAGTTCCACATTATTTTGATTACTATCGTGTTACAATAGGTTTTGAAATCAGGGAGTGTGAAACCTCCAACTTTGTTACAGTTTTTCAAGATTGTTTTGGCTATTTAGGGTTCCTTGAAGATTCTAGATGAATTTTACCATGGAATTCTCTACTTCTGTGAAAAATGCCATTGGCATTCTGATAGAGATTGCGTTGAATCTGTAGGTCACTCTGGGTGACCTGAACAATATTAAGTCTTCCAATCCAGGACCATGAGATGTCTTTCCATTTTTTTGTGTGTCTTTAATTTCTTAGTGATGCTTTACAGCAGGGATCCCCAACCCGTGGGCCATGGACCAGCCACATAACAGGAGGTGAGCTGTGGGCAAGTGAGCATTACTGCCTGAGTTCTGCCTCCTGTAAGATCAGCTGCAGCATTGGCTTCTCCTAGGAGCTTGACCCTATTGTGAACTGTGCATGCGAGGGATGTGGGTTGTGCACTTCTTATACGGATCTAATGCCTGATGATCTGAGGTGGAACAGTTTTATCCTGAAACCATCCCCCACTGCATCATCCACTCTGGGTCCATGGAAAAACTGTCTTCCATGAAACCAGTCCCTGGTGCCAAAAAGGTTGGCGATTGCTGCTTTAAGTTCTCAGTGTTTATGTCTTTTGTCTTAGTCTGTTCAGGCTGCTGTAACAAAATACCTTAGACTGGGTAAGTTATATATAGATAACAGAAATTTATTGCTCACAGTTCTGGAGGCTGGGAAGTCCAATATCAAGGATTTGGGGCCTAGTGAGTATCATCTTCCTCACAGATGGCACACTCTAGCTGCGTCCTCTCTCATGGTGGAAGGTGAGCTCCCCAGGCCTCTATTATAAGGGCACTAATCCCATTCATGAGGGCAGAGCCCTCTTGACCTTATCACCTTCTAAAAGCCTACCTCTTAATACTAGCACATTGGGGATTACATTTCAGCATACAAATCTGGGGCGGGGAGACACAAACATTCAGATCATCACATTCAGATGATCATGTATCTCCTTGGTTAAGTTTATTCCTAAGTATTTTATTCTTTTTGATGCTATTGTAAATGGAATTGTTTTTTTTTTTTGATCATTCATTGTTAGTGTATAGAAATGTGACTGATATTTGTGTATTGATTTTGTAGCCTGCAACTTTGCTGAATTTATGCTTCCTCCTAATCATACCATTCTCTGCTGGGGAAGAGCTAGGGTGAGCAAAATGCACAAACTTTTCTAGCCTTTCGGTGCAGCCTTTTCCTGGCTTTGCATTTGCCTAAGTGCTGCAGTTTCCCAGTTGGTTTCTAGAGTTCTTACAAAGATATTCTGGCCCATATATTGTTAACTCAGTGTCTCTGGGAGAATGAGGATGCTGAGTTCCCAAGTCCATCATCTTGCTGACATTACTTCCCATCTACCAGCTACAGCAAAAGGCTAGTATGATGATTTGGATATGATATTCACACACAGAAATATGCTAATAAAATTTCAGAGTATATTGATAAAAAATGCTTACCCAACAAGTTTTACTTATCCACTTTTCTCCCAGTGGTGTGGGTCAAAATGAATTTCATTCTTAGAGATAATTAAGTTTGGCCTAATAAAAAAGTTTTCCCAAATATGACCAAAAAACCCCTTAGATTTTAACTCTTGAATCCTAGGAACCTCAACCAGAAATCTTTTCATGATTATTTTAGAAAAAAGTTTTCCTATGGTGGGGGAATATTTTGATATCCCCAGTGCAATATACCTTCCCTAATTATTTTGGAAACAACTGGTTTCAAAGATTATATAGTAACATTAGAAATCCCAGTGTGTTCAGTTTTGAGAAAATATTGAGTAACAGGAAGCACCTGTTAAATGGAAGGCACTGAAACATTAACTTTGTATCACATGCATTTTTATTACTTTAGGTATAAACATATTTTTTGACTCATTAAAATTTTGATTTTAATTTCTAAGTGATTATAAGTTCCAGTGGACTAAATGCATTCCAGTTGATCTTGTTTTGTGATCACTCTACTGCTGATTAGAATCTCTACCGGAAATTTTGTATTTTCAAGAGGAGGAACAAAGCAGAAACGGGATGAGTAAAATTTTAACTATTTCCAGTGCATCCTTACTTCTTGGGTTAAATTGTATTGCTATGGTGAGAGAACTCAGCAGCAGACAGACGAGGACAATGGCATGATGCATATTCAATGGGCAATGAACTTATGTTTCTTTAAATATAAAACATATTGAAGATGATAGTAGTCTATTTCTAGCTAAGGTTATAGTCTTGTCTTCTCACTACAGTATATATCCTTGAGGGCAGGTAGCACCTCTATTCAAAATTGATCCTTCCCAACCCCTACTTCCACACTACCCCATACATTTACAGGCACTAGATTGACTCAGTGTTTTGAGGAGTAATATTATCACAACAGCTTCAGTTAAACTTAAGAGCTATATCTACTTGTCTGATACAGTGTGATTTTTTTGTTCTTTAGTCTCTTCCTGATGAATCCTTTCTAATAATTGTAAAATTCTATTGGAACTCTAAAACATCGCAGTTCAAAAAGGGAGCAGGCAAAGAGCCATACCAGTCATTTCCAAGATAAAAAAATGGTCTTAAATAAGATTCTGAAGAGGGTGCACTCCTCTTTGTATCTTTCAAAATGGCTTCAAGTGTTTTGCCATTTGAAAGTAGTCTCATGATTACAGCATTATTTAAGTGTGAATCTGGTTGGCTTATGAAAGTAGAGAGAAAGAATTGTTACTAATAGTGAAGTCATGACTTTTTAAGAGATTGAGACAGCAAATAAAATTGGAGAAAAATTATTCTTTATTGAAAAATACCAATAATACTGACAGACTTCAAAAGCAATTCACGCTTCCAGAATACAAAGTACTTAATACATATTTTCAAACCTGTTTGGATTTCAAACAAAGTTAGTATTTTTGTAAATCAAATTTTATAACCTGGCTAAAAATATTTTCCAGCTTTATTATTTAAGGAGCTGCACAACCTTTTACAGTGGGGACCAGGAGGCAGGCAGAAGCAGAGACACAGAATGCACCCAGGACTGCACAGCAGTCTACAGCAACATGTCCCATAACTTCAGTGCACAAAAATCCTGCACAAGACAGCTGCCCTCCAGTGTCAGTATCTTGTGAAACCACATATCAAAATATAGCCAGTTTCTTATAATTTATACACTTTCGTTTAGGATTGCTTTTTGAAGAAAATCTTGAAGGATGCCATAATATCATCCAGAATCCTGAATTTAAAAAATGAATGAAAGAAATGAACTGTTACCATCAAAATGGTTGTTGCTGAGCTGTGTGAGTAGGAACTCTATGCTTTTTTCGATGCAAAAAAATTAACACATAATGCAAGTTTAATCTGAAATCACACAAGTTATGTATGTAGGCTCAGATAGTAGCAATGTTCACTTTTATTACTAATAGCTTAACAGTCAATCTATTCATTCCTCCAGCAGGAATAGCAGCACCAAGATCTTCTAAAATTCTTTATGTATAAAGCTTAAGTCATTATCCAAGTCCCATTCTTTGCATGCTCCAATTCTTGTTATCTTATTTAACATAAAAGCAACATGATTTGGAGAATTACTATTTGCTGTATTAAAACAGTTACACAGCATCTTCTACTGTCAAAAAGCAAAATACTGTGAATGGCAGCCTTTCTTCACAGATCTAAACTTGAAGCTGCCAAACGATCACTGCTTGTACCAGCAGTGGTTTTCCACAGTAAAATAGCAGAAACTAAAGGAATCATGGCACAATGGATTTCTGAATTATTTTGTCTACCATTGGTCCTGGGGCTTGGTACCTTCCCCTTGTAGACTATTATCTGCTGATCATTCCAGAATCATCTTTAATGAAGGAAAGGCATCAGGTCATATAGCGGGTAATGGCTCTCAGAGCATAAAGGAGTTCTGCTTGCATCCTAGCTTCTATAAGAAGCAGATTAACATGAACCTGAATATAAAATACAACATCATAAAAGGAAGGATTACAAGCATTTACAATCACAGTTTTTCAGTGCATCTAATGAACACATAAGTACACTTCCTATATGGTACTGAATAACTTAGTCTTGGGTTTGTTAAATAGAATATCAATTTCTCAACAGCTATCTGATACTTCTCCCCCCAACTCCCCCAATACGCAGTTTCACTGTTGCCCAGGCTGGAGTGCAGTGGTATGATCTTGGCTCACTGCAACCTGCAACCGCCACCTCCCGGGTTGAAGTGATTCTCATGCCTCAGCCTCCCAAGTAGCTGGATCTACAGGTGTGTACTACCATGCTCAGCTAATTTGTTTTGGTATTTTTAGTAGAGATGGGATTTCACCATGTTGGCCAGGCTGGTCTTGAACTGCTGACCTCAAGTGATCTGCCTGCCCTGGCCTCCCAAAGTGCTGGGATTACAAGTGTGAGCCACTGTGCCGAGCCTAATATTCTTTTTGGATAGCTTTCATTTATATTTTATCATATTTCTTGGAGGTTTGTTATATGTCAGAAAATCTAGACACTGTTTTATTAGAATACCAACTTCCCGTGCCAAATCATTATTCAGTAATTTCTATAAAGATGTTTCAAAGAGAACAGACACTTCTACACATACACAGCTTTTACAAAACAGTCTCCTCTACATGCTGACAGCCATGCCAGCACTATTGAAAAATGGGCCAGCCCACCTGTCCTCCCTGCCTTCATTATTCTACTCTATCACTATGACGAGGTTCCCTTCTGAAAGGGTACCTCAGACAGCTGTCCTAGAATGTTTTCTTTTGGGTTGGTAGGGGTGATGGAAAGGGTTTCAGAGCCATTAGGTTAGGTGAAGGAAACTACGAATCACTGCTAAGTTACAGAGTAAACAAGCCACAACAGGCACATACCTTCTCAGAGTGCTTGAACTGCCTCCAGAAGCTATCATACATTCTTTTGGTAACCTTTTCAGGAGTGCAAACAACAGTTTTGATATAAACTTTAAAGCTACGATCCAATAGCTGGTTAATTTCACCATAGTCATAATCATCATATCTGTTGAAAGACATAGTGAGAATTACATTTTCAGTGTATAACCTATTTTTGTCTTATGAAAGAATACACATCAATAGTTAATGCTGTATTTTTTTCCCTCTTTGTGTAGGTAGCTGTCCCCAAAAATGACAGAGCTTTATAATTGAGGGGTGGATGACTGAGTATAAAGGAATAAGAAACAGAGTACTTAAACAGAACATTCTCTGCTACCCAAATAAATCATTCCTGAAAGCTGACAATATTAAGGTAGCACTGGGTACCAAGCAAGTGTATATTTGCAATCATGAACATGCAAACACACTGAGGAACAAATTATTATTTTTTGAGACTGAATCTTGCCCTGTCACACAGGCTGGAGTCCAGTGGTGCTATCTTAGCTCACTGCAACCTCCACCTCCTGGGTTCAAGTGATTCTCTCGGCTCAGCCTCCTGAGAAAAGCTGGGATTACAGGTGTGTGCCACATGCCCAGCTAATTTTTGTATTTTTAGTAGAGACAGTATCACCATGTTGGCTAGGATAGTCTACAACTCCTGATCTCAGGTGATCCGCCCCGCCTCGGCCTCCCAAAGTGCTGGGATTATAGGCATGAGCCACTGCACCTAGCTGAACAAATTCTGAAAACAGATTATCAAAATTAAGTAACAATTATATTTGTTATTGGTACTATATTTTCTCTCTCTCTATATATATATATCTAGATATATATGTCTAATTTTTATTTATACAAATGTATATAATTATAAATATTTTAATTTTAAATATTGTATATAATTATATTTATATATACATAGAGGGAAATTCACTTGTATAAATAAAAATAATTAGAATTACTTTACTCATGTTTCTAGGAGTTTCTGGGGTCAAATGAGAAAAAAGGCAGGGGCTGGGGAGAGAAGGATGATTTATACTTAAGAACCCATCCTGCTTTAAGCCAAGATGGTTGCATACAGCAGTGTCTGCTTTGCTTCACTGGGTAATGGATTCCCAATCACATAGGCCCTGTAGTCTCCTATTGAGTTTTCATTGGAAAGGGGAGAAAGGTCTTGTAAAGCTGGTTCTACAACCATTCAGGAGGCTAAAGTCAATAGTCTGGCTACTGATTAGTGGGAAATTAGTTTAAAGTTGGTCAGATGTACCTTGAATGCCAGATGCGTTTGGAGCAGATGAAACAGGGTTTATAGGTTTTGAGCAGAGTCTCTGATAAAATGAATAGAAAGCCTGACTTTACAGCTAAAATGACTACTAAGTACTGTAGCATGGAGTTTGTGTGCATGTGTGAGAAGATGGTATACAATGGCTGTATTTTCAATATAACATCGTAACATGGCTGAAAACCTAACAGCAAGGACATGAAAGTTTTGATTAGGTATTATGACAGCAAGTACTCTTCAGAAGGAGCCTAAGAACAGCCAGAGGAGCAATATAAGGGTACTGATTTCCAAGAAACATAAATGGGTCAGGAGATAGATGATATGAAAAGATACTAAAGGCGTTCAGTGACAGACTTTGTTCTGGAACCAGATTGCTTGTCCTTCCTCCCTTTCCTGGAGGCAGCTGTCATTCAACTCTTCTCAAAGTCCCTAACTCTCCCTCCTGCCTAGCTAGGAAAGAGGAGAGAAAACTAAGCTGCAATAAAGTGGTTCTTTGAAGTATAAAAAGCATAAGAATAAGTTATTGGGGAGGGGATGGGTTTTGATTATGTGTGTGTCTGTGTGCACTCCAAGCACCTGAATAATTTGGCCCAGAGAAAAACATCTCTTTATAAACACAGAAAGAAGACTAACCTTATTCCAAACATGCAGTGAATATAGTTCCAAATTGCCCGTCTAAGCATTGAGGTATCAACATCTTTGTGCATTGCCATTGTATTATAAGTAAGATTGTAAGCAATGTGAAATTTTTCATCAATCAACTGTCCCACATCTGGATAAAGACGATTTACCAAAGAATAACCATGATCTTCCCAGCAATAGTCCTAAATACAGGGAATAGAACAAATGTGAATAATTAAAATGTGCTCAAGTACAGTTCTATATCTACAGCTCTGTAGTATATAAAAATAATTGCCATTTGGCTGACAATCCAACCGGCTTTCATCCCTAACTCCCAGCTTCACTTGCACTCCAATCTTACGTTTTCAATTTCCATACTACAACATGCAAAAGTTGTTTTATAATGCAGTGAATTTAAAAACTAATGGAGAATTTAAATCTCCTTGTCTCCTCTTGTCTCAAAAAACAAAAACGAAAACCAACTAATAGTCTATTCACCTTACACATCCACCTTTATCTCTTTCACTCTCTCTCCACTTAGCTCCCAGATGTGACCAGCTTGGGAGTCCCCTCTCCTTTTCCATTGCAGTAGCCACTCAAATGGCCTTCAAATTATGTGTGAGAGAGAGAGAGTGAGTGTGTGTGTGTGTGTGTGTGTGTGTGTGTGTTTTAAGAGACATGTTCTCACTCTGTTGACAAGGATGGAATGCAATGGTGGCAACGGTGTGATCACAGCTCACTGCAGCCTTCAACTCCTGGGCTCAAGTGATCCTCCCTGTCTCAGCCTCCTAACTGGAACTACAGGCACAGGTCACCTTGCTTGGTTAGTTTTTTAAATTATTTGTAGACATAGGGTCTTGTTTTATTGCCCATGCTAGTCTTGAATGCTTGGCCTCAGTAATTTTCCCATCTTGGTCTCTCACAGTGCTGGGATTACATGTGGGAGCCACCCATCTGCCCAAATTTTGTGAATTTTTAACTCAACACATCCATCACCCATTCCTTCTCCTCCTACCCCCACTTCTGCTTTTTAGCCCTATTAACTGAGTCTTCCTAATTAGTTTTCCTACATTAAATCTCCTTGTCTTTCTTTCCACCTGAAACAAAACTTAATAAGCCCCTACTTCTTTGTTGCTTTCCTAAAAACACCTCTTTGATATTACGCCATCACTCTGGTCAAAGCCTACAAACCCCACTTAATCTACTGTAAACTGCTTTGGCATTTAAGGCACACCTAACCAATTTTAAACTCATAATTGAATTCTTTATGCTTTTTATTACTACTAATCAGAAGTAGGATTTCTTAGCTTGAAGCTCTCAGCAGCCAGCCAGTCTTTTTATAGTTCCTTCCCTCACTCTGTCCCTCAACCTAACCCTTTATTGTCTAGTCTCCTCTACTTACAATACCCTTTTTACCATCCAAATTATTCAAATTCTAATCTCTCTCCATAAAATTTCCAGCCCACATGATGTCTTCAATTTGTATTATATGATTATCCTAATTATACAATAATTTTGCCCCTTAGTTTATTTATTTTTATTTCTTGAGACAGGGTCCCACTCTGTCACCCAGGCTGGAGTATGGTGGCTCCATCAGAGCTCACTACAGCCTCAACCTTCCAGGCTCAAGTGATCTTCCTACCTCAGCCTCCTGAGTATATAGGACCAGGTGCACACCACCACACATGGCTTTTTTTTTTTTTTTTAAGAGACAGGGTTTCCCTATGTTGGCCAGGCTGGTCTTGGAACGCCTGGCTCAGGTGATCCACCAGCCTCAGCTGCCCTCTCAAGGTGCTGGGATTACAGGCGGGAGCCATTGTGTCAGGCCCCTTAGTTTCTTGAAGAAAGAAACAAAATCTTATGGTTCTCAAATATTTTCATAATTCTGGTAAAATAGTTATTATTTAACACTGGACCCTAACAATATTTGGGAATGTTGGGAGTATTAACTCATCTGAATTAAATACTTACCTATTTAAATATTTACATAATAATTTTTTTTTTTTGAGACGGAGTTTCTCTCTTGTTGCCCAGGCTGGAGTGCAATGGCACGATCTCGGCTCACCGCAATCTCTGCCTCCTGGGTTCAGGCAATTCTCCTGCTTCAGCCTCCTGAGTAGCTGGGATTACAGGCACGCACCACCATGCCCAGCTAATTTTTTGTATTTTTAGTAGAGACGGGGTTTCACCATGTTGACCAGGAAGATCTCGATCTCTCGACCTCGTAAGCCACCCGCCTCAGCCTCCCAAAGTGCTGGGATTATAGGCTTGAGCCACCGCGCCCGGCCAAAATTTTTAAGATATACATACATTTAAAACTACAGTATGACTTCACGGATGGATCAGAAGCAGTCTTTTAGCTGTTATTCTAAAACAAGAAGAGATACTGCCTGCAAAGCACTTAGCATAGTTCTCAAGTATAAGTGGCTCTTTTGTATTTTAAGTCAGTCTGAGATATTTCTAGTCAATCATGTGCATACAAGTTGAAATTTTACCTGGACACGAAATGTTGGAACATGCATCCCATGTCTAGAGAAATCTTTATAGCCATAGCTAGTATCCTCAAAATGACGAGATACATCTCTTGCTGGTGTAAATTCTTCATCATCTGGGAAAAAGGCCATTGAAAGTTTTTAAAAAATAGGATGCTAGTTAAAATTGATTTTACCCATAGCAAGTAAAGATGGCATAGCCCTTTCTCTGATACTGAGTAACCAATATCAACCAAAATAGTCTTGTAACTACACAAAGATATAGCTTACTTGCTAGTAAACAGAATGTAGTAAAAGAAGATTCTGTGTTATAAAATGAAAACTCATAGATGAATTCTCTATGGCTTTTTATTGCCTCTTTCACAGACACCTTCTCTCTCTCCCCATTCTAATTTATATATATTAGGTTCTACTTATTCAAAGTATGAACATCCTTTTGGATCGTCTGATAACTATAAAAATCAGCTATGCTCTAAAATTTAGCACTTATTTTTGTTCAATATTAATGACATAAGGTATGTGATATGAAAGAAAAATCTCATGAGTTAACAGTTTTACAGTGCTGCCTGCACTCTGCCTAAGACTTTCTGGACTATCATGATGTTTAGGAGTTGAGATTATAGTTTCATGTAAGTGTAGCATTAGATGACAACAACTCTCTATCTTCAGGCATGGAAACAAAAATTTTTCCTGGAAGAAAATAAGCTAACATCCAACCTCCATTTAAACAAATTTGATTGTTTCTTTGCTATTAAGAAACTTGGTGTTTTAATTCTTATACTCTTTCTCCCACTCTATTGGAGACACTTTATAAACTTTTTCTCCTTTAAATCATCTGGTTTATATATTATTTCCCATAGCCTGCAAACAGATAAAGGTTAAACATAGAGAATTTAGGTTGTTGTTGGTAATTTAATAAATATCTCCTCTTGCTATATTGCCCAAGCTGGTTTTGAACTCCTGGCTTCAAGGCGATCCTCCCACCTCAGCTTCTTGAGTGGCTGGTACTACAGGTACACATTGCCGTGCCCAACAAATCACAGAATTTTAACGCTGGAAGCAATCTCAGGACCATTTCCTCATATTAAAGAAGAGAAGCATGGACAATATAGCAAGACCCCATCTCTACAAGAAAAATTTAAAAACAACTAGGTGTGGTGGCACATGTCTATAGTCCTAGCTACTCAGGAAGCTGAAGCAGGATGATTGTTTGAGCCTAGGAGTTTGAGGTTACAGTGAGGTAGGATCGTGCTGCTGCACTCCAGCCTGGCAACAAAGCAAGACCCTGTTTCTTAAAAGAGAAAAAAGGGAGCATTCATATGTTAACTGACTTAGTCAAGTTCACAAAGCTCATTAGAAGTAATTTTAGTACCAGAATCCAAATTAAATGTCCTCCCTCTTAGTCTAGGCTGTTTTCACTTTTAACCTTTTCTTAGTTGCTTGCTGTAAAAATTATTTGTAAATAGGAATACCTATGCAATAGCCTCTCTAAAAGGAGGGGCATATTTAGATTGATGCTTTAAAACATATTTAAATTCTTTAAATAAAAAGCTGAGTTTGCAATAATTATATTGGCTATGTAATGGTTGTTCTTACCTGAAGAGAAGACAAACATACTCTCTCTTTTTTCTATTTCAAACCGTGAAGCCATCTCTTCCTGACTTGCCTCTTCTTCATCTCGACATTCCTGTAACTGCCTCATCTTTTCCATGAGGGCTTCAACCTCAAAGAAAGAATCACTTACCTGAAGAGAAAATATAATTAATGTTACATGTGGCAGACATAGAATATACATGAATTATCTTTTATTAAGTCTGTCTTATAAGAATTTATATCTTAATAGAATATAGGGAAAATATTCTTATAATTTTAATGTACATGAATGAATAAAAAACAATTATTTTGGTCTATTAGGAAGACTGACATGCAGATTTTAAAATAGAAGAAAAAAATGATTAAAATATAAGAAAAAAATAATTTTAAGAACACATTCTAATGCTTTTACCTTATAAAATTAGCAATAATGTCATTAATATTTATGCTGTTTTAAAAACTAAACACTATCAATTTAAAATAGAACTATGTTCACTTCTACTTGCTTAATCTTCAAATAAATAAGATATACAAAGTATAAGTGGTTTTGCATCAACTGTGTACACTGGGCATACATACTGTCAATGTGTCTATCATCTTTAGTAATTAGCTCTATTTATACAGTTTACCAATTAAACATGAAACGTGTTTACATGGCTAGAGTTAGCCACCTGACCTCTGCAAATGGATCTGGCAGCTGTCACTTGCTGGGATGACTAGAGCAATGTCACACATAGAGTAATGGGTGTGACAAAGGACTGGCCAAGTGGTCTTGCACTAGTCAAATCAGTTATACTTCTATACCCTGTTGCATTCTTGCTGCAAAAGCTAGATCAAATCTATGCAATTTATATCTTTCTTATAAAATGAATATATTAAGAAGTCTTGGTTGGGCTAGGGGCTCACGCCTGTAATCCCAGCATTTTGGGAGCCCAACGCAGGATAATTGCTTGAGCCCAGGAGTTCAAAGCTGCAGTGGGCTATGACTGTACCATTGCACTCCAGCCTGGACAACAGAGTGAGACTTTGTATCAAAAAGAAAAAAAAAAAGTCTTAATCTCAAATCTCAATGTGTACATACAAAATTGATGGTTCCTCTTTATAAATTTATTTTGCCAGGAATGTTTTTAAGACCTCTGTCTTCCACTCTTCCTGGCTTCCACCTATTGATCCTTCAGGTAGCAGCTTACATGCTTCTAAACACTATCAGTTACCCCACAAGCTGTAATTATTCTAACACAACCCTGTCCTCTTTCCTTCACAATCATAATTTATAATTGTTATTTGCATGATATTGATTTAATGCCTGCTCCCTTCCCAGACCAAACCTTCAGAAAGGTAGGAGATCTGTCTGGTTTATCTGTATATATCCCACACCTAGCATAGTACCTGGTACACAGAAGATATTAAAAAAAAAATACTTGCTATAGAATGACTGCCAGAATAATTCTAGATTAAGAGACAATCTATATCACCTGTGCTTTATACTTTCTTTTGATCCAAACAGTTCTACTGAAATGCCCAGTACTAAGCCCTTTCTCTAACACTTTCATGATAGGAAGTGTTTCTGTGATGGTGCTGAAGATTCTTCCGGTGCATGCATTTTCCCCATAGTTATTCCTGACACAGGGTCAGTACCCAAATAAAAAATGAGCTGAAAAGGATTAGGTTACATGATAGGATGATTCAAAGTTTAAAAAAGGTCTCTTTCAACTCACATTATCTCTCATTATCTGTTTACCCATTCTCCTTTTAAAATATAAAGAGCCCAAATTGCAAGTATTCTTAGGAAAGATAATTCTTGTTAAATTATATTGAAATAAGAGGGAAAGAAAATGAAGTAGGTAGGTTTCTTTGTTCCTTGATTGATCTGCCAAAGTTGTTAGAGTTAAAAAAAATTAAGGCATTTCATTTTAATATTAAAATATTAAAACTGTAAGAAAATTCTTTTTTTTCCTTTATAAATTACCCAGTCTTGGGTATGTTTTTATACACCAATACTTAGAAGCAACCAATGTGTCCTTCAGTGGCTACTGGAATAAAGAAATGTTGGTACATCCAGAAAGTGAAAAATTATTCAGTGCTAAAAAGAAACTTAAGTATCAAGCCATGAACAGACATGGGTTGATTCTTACAAGAATCAACAATGCTACATTAATATAATTTAAATGCATATTACTAAGTGAAAGAAGCCAATCTGAAAAGGCTACATACTGTATGATTCCAACTAACATTCTGGAAAAAGCAAAACCATGAAGATAGTTAAAAAAAAAAAAAATGAGTAAGTAGCTGCCCAGGTTAGGAGGGAGGAAAAATTCTTGTTTGTTTGTTACCATTTGTATCTGAAGAACTGAGTCAGATACTGGATATATGTGGCCTGGTGGTGGCACCACCTGAACACCTAAAGAACAAGCTACATCAGCTCACTGTCAAGTGGCATCAGTGTGGGCCACAAACCTTCTAAAAGTATACAAGTTACCTGGGAATAGGAAGCTTATCTATTAGAGAAATAAAAATTATCTTCTTTCAGTATTCATTCTTTTAGTAGAAGGATAACTAGAAACAATCAAGTACTTTTTTCTTTAGCCTTGTACTGAATTATTGGTAGCAAGGGCAAGAATCCATCTCCTAGCATCCTAGCAACTGTATACTCTCTTGGATCCTCTTCTGATCACCAAGCTTTGATTAATCAGTGGTCATATGCAGGCCTCTGATATGAATCTAGGCCACGGTCTTTGGCAGGGTCAGGACAGTGCTATGATCAATCTAGGGAAAATTATTTCTTGCGCTAATTACACCATAAGTAAACGCCACCTCTATTTCGCACCTGACTTTGCATTTAAGATATTTCATTTAAACCTCCCAATAACCTGTGTTTTACTTTTATTACATGAAAGAACTGAGATTCAATAACATTTCCAAAGTCAAATATATAAGTTAAAGGCAATTCAACCTGCCCACATGTATTTTGAAGGGATAACATAACTCAGAAAATGCATACAAAGTGTTCAGATGGCTGTGGTAGTACTTCTATGATTTTTCACTATAGCAAAGGAATGCAGGAGGGGACTTTGATTCATCATAAATAGGAATTAAAATTTGCTTATAGAAAACTGAACTTTCTCTGTTTCAAAAGAGTAACAAACCTGAGAATATACAAAAGCCAGGAAGAGAAGGAATAGAGGTGAAAGCATTTTAACAAATTTGCATTCACTTGATATCACCTTCTATATTGGTGCAAAATTAAACATGAAAAAAAATTTAAAGATAAAATTTCCAGGTCAAAATTGATTAAATCTTCTGAAAGATAAAAAGTAAGAAGTCAAGCTGTTTCTTTATGCAGAAGAGAAGAATGTGATTGGCACAAAAATCACAGCGTGGCCCACCAGGCCACACTATTTTCAGCCTTCCCTCATCTCACTGTAGTAGCCATTCAATATTATTTGGCCCTGATGGGACACATGCCGTTGGCTCCTGATTCTAAAATTATGAGTGTAAACTCCTAGAAGGTCTTAGAGTTTTGTACATCACTTTTTATATAATTTTGAATAGCACCGAGACTAGTGATAAGCATGTCAGGCAGTCAATGAAACCTTACTAAATGAATAGATATAGTGGCCCAATTTCTCCACAGACTTAACATGGTGGGTTTTTCTTCACCCTTCAAGCCAATTGAAGAAATATTATAACTGCAATTATTGTGATTAGTTTTATGACAATCTCATGACAAATGATGAATACTTACAGAAACATTTTCTGCTGAGTTGACCTGCATCTCATCCACACTGTGATTGCCATTTGTAATGTCACAGATGCAGTAGTTGCTAACAGAAGGAGGTCTGAACGTGTGGCCACCATCACAATGAATTTCTGGACTGATTCCACAGCCAAATGTGAACGAGGCAAGAGAATGATAGTGTGTGAGTAAAACTACCGCATGTACCAATTCCGCAAGGGACCAGCTGTGCTCTTCAGCTTTTAAAAGTCCCTTAGGGGGGAAAAAAGAGAATATGTTTTTGTACGGGGGTGTGGTAAAAGTACAGTTCATTTTATTATTTATTGAAAACTTGATGAGTCACCATACAAAATTAGTATCACCTAGTATAAAATTATCATTTGAAACATGTAGAACTCAGAATTTGTTAATTTTTATGAATATGCATTCACGAATAGAACTTAATAGTCTATTACAACAGTCACTATTATTCTGATTTTCTGAAATACTTAGAATAGAATGGATTTTGCTTAAAAGTGGTTGCTGTGTTTCAGATACTGGATTATGAATGAATTATGGTGTTGTTAGTTCAAAATCTCAAACCAGCCGGGCGTGGTGGCTCAAGCCTGTAATCCCAGCACTTTGGGAGGCTGAGGCAGGTGGATCACAAGGTCAAGAGATCGAGACCATCCTGGTCAACATGGTGAAACCCCGTCTCTACTAAAAATACAAAAAATTAGCTGGGCATGGTGGCACGTGCCTGTAATCCCAGCTACTCAGGAGGTTGAGGCAGGAGAATTGCTTGAACCCAGGAGGCGGAGGTTGCGGTGAGCCGAGATCGTGCCATTGCACTCCAGCCTGGGTAACAAGAGCGAAACTCCGTCTCAAAAAAAAAAAAAAAAAAAAAATCTCAAACCAAATGTAATAAATTTGTGTTTAAAAGTAGAAGCTGCTCTGTGAAATGCCTGTGTTTTGTTTAAGGCCTCCTCAAGGAATTTTTAAGATAGTGGGTTGAACGACTTGACTAAATATTCCTAAATCATCAAATTATATTTATTTATTTTATTTTTTTATGTTTTTTTTGAGACAGAGTCTTGCTATGTTGGCCAGGCTGGAGTGCAGTGGCACAATCTTGACTCACTGCAACCTCTGTCTCCCAGGCCCAAGCAATTCTCCTGCCTCAGCCTCCTAATAGTTGGGATTACAGGCGTGCGCCACCATGCCTGGCTAATTTTTGTATTTTTAGTAGAGACATGATTTCACCATGTTGGCCAGGCTGGTCTCAAACTCCTGACCCCAGGTAATCCACCCACCTTGGCTTCCCAAGTGCTGGGATTACAGGCATCAGCCACCATACCCAGCCCAAATTATATTTAAGTTATACATAAATTCTATAATCTATTCAATTCTGTGTCCCTTCTGCTTCATTATCTATTTTGTAATCTTGCATAATTTTTCCTTGACAATATATAATGGGCACTGTATTAATTATATTCAAATCTTGTATCTTCTTGATAATATCTTTAATTATCTAATAGTATCTATAAAGTAGGCAAGACCAAAAGATGCATCTTTTAGGAATTTCTAGTGCATGGTATACAATTCTAGAGAACATCAATCTACTTTTACTTTATTACCTCTATTAATAAATAGAACCAGAACAAACCAGATTAACACGGCATGTAAAATGTAACATAAAGATGCAGAACAATGAGATGCCACTTCACACTTATCAGAATGGCTGAAATCCAAAACACTGGCACCAAAGCTGGCAAATATGTGGGCCAGTAGGAATGCTTCTTCACTGCTTTGTGGGAATGCAAACTGATAATGCCACTTTGGAAGACAGTTTCACAGTTTCTTACAAAGGTAAACATAGGCTTATCACATTATCCACAAATTGCACTTATTTACCCAAATGAGGTGGAAACTTTTGTCAACCAAACACACACACACACACACACACACACACAGAAGCAAAAAACAAAACAAAAACCTATACATGAATGTTTACAGCAGCTTCATTCATAATTGCCCAAAACTGGCAAAAACCAAGATGTCCTTCAATAGGTGAATGGATAAACGCACTATGGTATATCCATACAATGGAGAATTACTCAGTGATAAAAAGAAATGAACTATCAAGTCATGAAAAGACACAAAGAAGCCTTAAATGGATGTTGCTAGATGAAAGAAGCCAGTCTGAAAAGCTATATACTTTTATATGATTCCAACTCTATGACATTCTGGAAAAGGCAAAACTATAGAGACAATAAAAATATGAGTGGTTGCAAGGGCTTAGGGGAAGGGGATAGGGATGAACAGGTAGAACCCAGGGCATTTTTAGGGTACTGACTATTCCATATGATACTATAATGGACGTATGACATTAGGCATTTGTCGAAACTTGTAAAACCATACAATGCAAAGAGTGAACCCTAATGTGAACTATAGAGTTTAGTTAATAGTAACATTATCAATGCTGGTTCATTACAACAAATGTACCACACAAATGCTATATGTACAATAGAAGAAAATGTGAATCTGTGGGAAGAGGTTCAGGGGATAGAAAATGGGAACTCTCTGTACTTTCTGTGCAATTTTTCTGTAATGGTAAAACTGCTCTAAGAAATAAAGTCTGAAATAACTCCCAAGATATATTACCTCACTACTTACCTCAATGTGTTCTTTGGTAATAAGCCAAGGTCTATGGGCTAACACTTTGTTGAGTTCTCCTAAATTCTGTAGTTTTTGAGGAGCATTCTCTAAACCATTGAGCCACTTGGGGTCTCCACCAACATGAAGGAAATCATTTACATGTAGGTTCACTAAGTAGGAGCACTGATGTCTTGCTGCAGCCTTAAGAGAAAACAAAAAGATTATTCTAATTCTAAATATTAAACCTTGAACTAACTACAAATCCTTTTTATTTACAACATGCAAAAGAGGTAATTGAGTTTACTGATATGTTTTCGAATTTTCCATAAACTAGAGAAATGCAGTTTTTATATAAAAATTTTAAAAATTCAAATACAGTAAAAGAACCTTAGAAATATTCCAACAACAAACAAAATATCTGATAAAAGTATTTGAACTTTAGACATTTTATCTACATACCAACTTTCAGAACTTCAGATTAAGAAGAAACTTCAATTAAGGTGCCAATCATAAAATAATGGAATATTATTTACAAACTGAACAGGAAGCACCGCTTATGTCAGTGTGAACTATTTATAATAATGAAACAGAACTTGTGTTCTACTTTTTTTATTTAATAAAAAATTGTTCTCAGGAATGTATAAATACTTGTTTTTCTGTTACACTTGAGAGCATTCTTATTTTAAAATAGAAAAAAATAGAGACTACGTAATAGGAATCGTATTACAAATCATAAGTATCCCTGTGTTTAAAGTATTAACTGTCTCTTAAAAAGATTAATAATAGGCAAAAAGAATTTTTCACTGAATGTTTACAAACCATTATCCCAATGTAGTGCCGATAATGTAGGGGTAACGGCCCATCCATTTGCAGTAGATAGTGTTGAGTTTTTAAAAAACTTTCTAAATATTGTGGGTGGAAAACCATCACTAACGTAATGTTATCCAAACGGCCCAAAGCAGCAAAAGAATCTGCAAATAAAGCGTGCATCTGTGCGTCTTCACTCCCCACTTGGAGGATCTGTATACATGGGAGAAAAACCATGGTTACCAAAATTGTAAATTAGTGTTAAGGGGAAAAAAAAATATACATGGGCTGCACAGTATCATTTAGAAGCAGATTAAATTTGGCTTAGTTACAAATTTAAACTCAACTGCTTGAAAGATACAGAAGAATAAACAGTCACATATAGTAAAGGATAAACAACAAAGGTTGAACACTGAAGGCCATCTAGATAGCCTGCTTGCAGAGTTGGCCAGAATCCAGATAAAAAAGCAGATTTAGATGATCAGACTTGCAGAGCTTGCAAACAGACACTAAAGCCTTTCTTTACAAAACCACCTACTCTCACTAAATTTAAGAACTAAAATTAACTAATAGCATATAATTTTTATGAAAATAAAGCGCAGACACTTTTACACATATATAGAATTAAAGATCCAATCTAGCCTTGACATCAGCCAGTGGAGATGGTCAAGACTGAGTAACTCAGGTTATGGGCACACCTAAACAAAATCTAAATATAAGCAGATGGAGTATCACTGGTCAAAACAAATCTTGGCTTTACTTGATTAACATGGGAGTTAAAAAAACATCATGAAATACTAGAAATCAACACAAGTACAACATCTTTTTAATCCTGTAAATTCACTGCCAAAGCATGATTAACTGCAACCAACTCTGACTAAAACATGTTGACCAACAGTTCTTCAGATGCCAAGATGTGGGTCATGAAATCCCTTCCTTAAAAGCATACAGTTCACTATGTACTTTCACAAACAACATACCTCCTTTTCTGGGATGAATCTGCTTGGTCCCTGTCCTAGTGGTCGAGGAATTCTAATGCCAAGTTCCTAGAAAAGAAAATTACACCATCTCAGGCCTTTGGCAGTAAACAAAATGAACTGAGGCTCAAGGAATGGGAGGGAAAAACAACCAGTTGAACACAGACAGGCTTGTTTTGGTGGTTTGTTTTCATGGCCATATATATATATATATATATATACACACACCATCTCTTCTGTTAGCGTTGCAGAGCTAACAACAGCTTATAATACGACTGACTAAAAACAATAAAACCTGTTTCACTAAAACCAGAGTTTTGCATAAAGTACTTGGCAGAAAGTCTAGAACAGAAAGTTCAGCACAGCAGCCAACCCTGTGGATCATCAGTGATACAAAATAAGACCAGTGTGTTTGTACATCTAAAACTCAACCAACCCAAATATCAATCCCTGTGCGTCTTGTCAGAAAATGAGAAAGCAGTACCTCCAACCTAGGTGTCTTAAACTGGAAGAAGTGTAATTATTATATCTAAAATAACACCTCACAGTTAGAATATAAATTTATAAAAAATAAAAACTAAATTCACAAGCAAGCACTACAGGGTATGTTTTCTCTGTGGTTAAAAAAAACAATTTTAGAGAAACTCATTTTGTTTGTAAGCTTGCCTTAAATTGTTTTTATTTATAGGAAGGATGTCATCAACCTTGCCCACATTATATTTTAAAGAAGCTCAAACAATTGAGAAACAAATGGTTTTCTGACATTTGACACAGTGAGTTTAGAATCCTGTACCTTATGTGATTGTGTAGTATGGTTGACAAGAACTGAAAATCTGTTAGGATTTCCTTTCCCTCCCTCACCTTCCCATACTCTGTGCTTACAGAAGTAAAATCAAAATAATATAGTTCAACATTTTTGTTGTTGTTTTGAGGCCTATGTCCTATCTAGTGTCATAAATTTTTGTTTAGAATTTATACAATTAAAGATTAACTCCTTCATTCATATATATATTTTAGATATAATTAAATAATCTTATATAATTCTACTCACTGCTTTTAAAAGTTCTTCATGATATAAACCAGATGTTTTCCTTTTAAAGATAAAAAGTGAGGGTGGGGTGGAGGGGGTACACAGAGAAAGACATGTGGCAGCAATTCAAGAAATCTGGTCCCAGCAAATGAAAATCTTTAAAGCAGAACAGATTTTTAAAGACTAAGCAGGAAGGACAAAAGTCAAGATAATTTTTATTAGGAGAAATCAAGATTCAGATTCAAAGCAGTCTATTATTTGCCAATAGAATTCATAATATATAAAGAAAATAATCTTATACTGGAGGTTGGTGACTTCTCCCTGGTTATTGCATACTTACACTGAAGATACAAATGTTTTAACATTATACCCTTCATTAGAGGACACACTTAATTCACTGGTCTGGCCATGTATGTGTCTCAATTTTAACATCCTGTAATGAATGCCAGAGGAAAACCCATCTCTGTTATTCAATATGTAATTTTGGCACCAATACAGTCATTTATATAAAGTGATGACTTTAGCTTTTCTCACTGCTGAATTTCTGATCGAGTTACATGCATTTTAAACAAAACATATTGGACAAAACTATAAGGCTAAAATTAACATTTATCCCCTCTCATTTCTTTAGTCTTGAAAACTGTCTTATTTAAACAAAATGTATTTTAGGAAAATGCCTGTTTCAAGGGTTTATTACTGTTTTATAACTAAGAGACTTGGGACTTTAACATACAAAAAGGTGTCATTTCAAATGGGGGGAAATGAATTATTCAACAAATGGTCTTGGATAGCCACTCAGAAAAAAAGTGAAGTTGGAACACTGTATCATGCTTTACTCCACAATAAACCACAGTTAAATGTTTTTTTTTTTTTTTTTTTAAAAAAAGCAAAACCCATTACAGTACTAGAAGAAAACACTCATGGAGTAGAGCAAGCCTAAGAATGCCACAAAGCCAAAAGTCATAAAATATAAGATTGATAAGTTTACTGACATAAAAATAAAGATGTTCACATGGGAAAAATAAATACATACAAGTCAAAAGTAAACAAAAAGCTAGGAATTACACTTGCCACTCAAATAACAAAGGGCTAACTTTTAAAGAAAGACTACTATAAATCAGTAAGAAAATCCCCAACAATCTTATTTTAAAAATGAGCAAACAACATGGACAGTTCAAGGAAAAGAAAATACAAATGACTGAAGAAATGCTCAACACTCACAATAAAGCAATTGCAAGTTAACTATGCTGAGATATCCTTTCCCTCCAAAAAGACTGCTTAAGATAAAAAAGTTTGATAACAGACTGTATTGGAGAGAGGTAGAGAAACAGTCATTAATTGTTTATATATTGCTGATGAGAGTGTTCTGAAGTATAAGAAAAAAGAGTATAAAGAGTACATATTACTACAACCTCTAGAAAGGGCAATTTGCAGTAGTGACCAAAATGAAGAAGTCCCATAGCCTTTGAATCAACAATTCCATCCTAAGTGTTAACCCCTAATGTGTTCACATTTGTGAAATGCCATGTGTAAAAGGATAATCACTGCAACATTGTTTCTAATAGTACAAGGTTGAAAACAATCTCAGTGCTCAATAGAAGACTGTTTCAATAAAATTCAGCATGGCCATATAATAGAGTAGCATGCAGTCTTTACAAGGAATGAAGCACTTCTACATGAGTTGACTTTAAAAGCTCTTCAAGTTATATTATGGTAATGGGATAGGGAGGAGAAACAAAGTGCATAATATCTATATATTATGTTATCTGTAAGGAGAAAAAAAAAAACCTCAGTGATTGAATGTCTAGGCTTTTATCTTACAAATACATTACCAGCATGAAAGGTAGTTATCTTTTTAAAAATGTGACCAGATTGACAGCACATAGGTTTAGAAACAAAGAGGTATACAAATTACATTATTCTTGTTTTATTTCTATACCAAATACATAGTTTACATGCCAAATTATTATTTTTTAATTATTATTATTATTATTATTTGAGACAGAGTCTCGCTCTGTTACTCAGGCTGGAGTGCAATGGCATGATCTCAGCTCACTGCAACCTTCACCTCCTGGGTTCAAGCAATTCTCCTACCTCAGCCTTCCAAGTAGCTGGGATTACAGGTGCTCACCATCATGCCTATTTTTTTTTCTTTTGTAATTTTAGTAGAGATGAGGTTTCACTATGTTGGCCAGGATGGTATCAAACTCCTGACCTCAAGTGATCGACCTGCCTTGGCCTCCCAAAGTGCTAGGATTACAGGCATGAGCCACCACACCTGGCCTACATGCCAAATTATTATAAAATAATAGTTTTACAATTCCAAGAAGGTGGCTATGAATGCTTGAGAAACAGAATATTTCTTATATGTATGGCAAGGGTTCTATTTAATTCTTGTCTTTATAAGTCCATACCTATAGACAATTTAGCGAGCATATTGATAATACTTTCTCCCCTCTTTTTTGAGTCTTTAATGGCCAAATTCTTCCTTCCCAGTTCCTTAGGCATATATTCTTCTAGAGTTAAAAACTACTGGCCAGGGAAGGTGGCTCATGCCTATAATCCCAGCACTTTGAGAGGCTGAGGCAGGTGGAACACTTAAGTCCAGGAGTTCAAGACCAGCCTGGGCAACATGGCGAAATCCTGTCTCCACAAGAGACAAAAATGAGTTGGGCATGGTGGCACATGCTGGTAGTCACAGCTACTCAGGAGGCTGAAGTGGAGGATCATATGAGCCCTGGAGGTTGAGGCTGCAGTGAGCCATGACTGTGCCACTGTAATTCAGCCTGGGCAACAGAGTGAGATCCTGTCTCATTAAAAAAACAAAAACTCAAAACCAAACCAAACAAAAAACTATGTATTTAAAAACAGAATGTTTTAAAAACAAAAACAAAAGGCCAAATATTCTTTGGAATAGATTAGAGATCCATTATGCAATATCTCTTAGTGTTAAGATCACATTCGTTCCTCAATGAGTACCAGGTTTGGCAAGAGAGCTGGGGACAAAAGAATAGGAAAACTGAAGAAAGGATTAGAAAGGAATCTAACAATCAAGTTCCCATTTTGTTATTTTACCAAAGTCTAGTTCTAGGTAAAATATAATTTCACCCAGCTCACACTTGGATTAGCAGAGCCAATTTCCAACTAGGCTGAGGAGGTTGTGAGATGTTTGTGCCATTTCATAAAAGCAGAAATGTGGGTTGGAGAGGTGCACCAGGGAAAGCAAATAAGTGAAAGAAAAGATTGGGAGAGAAGAGGAAGTGGGGGAATAAATGGATCTTTAAAAATCAATTCTTTCCCAATCAGAAAGGATTGAACAAGACTGGTATAATGACAAAATATAATCATGGCTGTTCTAGAATCAAGGTTATTCTTCTATATTGGGAAGCTAAACTCAAAGATATATTTTGCTCTCCCTCTCTTAGCTAACTGACTGGGTATATGACAAGGATACAAGAATATGACATGATCTTTTCTACTTAATCTCATGCTCAATAGAAGACAAAGGGCTAATCTGGGGCATTCCTGGATGAATTCTGAGATGTGTCCTAATTTATTCTAGTCCTGATACTGGCAGGAAGTGGATCATTGACTCCATCCAGCCTTCCATTACACACAAATTAACTTCTGGAAAAAGTAAACAGGTGAAAATTACCTTGCAAACATCCAATGGGACTTGTTACTGCTGAAACTTTTATGAAGCCTCTTCATATTGGTAAAAGTCCCAAAGTACAGCACAAAAATGGAATAAGGTTAAAAAGTTTCCCCTATGCATCAAGTATGAAATAGGAAAAAAAGAAAAAAAAAAAAGCACCTAGTAGACTCAGAAAGTTTAGGCCAAAATCATGATGCTGATGTTTAGTAAGTGTGTAACTGCCAATAAAGCATTTAGCCTCCAAGCTGAAGAGTCCTAATCTGTAAAACAGGGATGACGACAAAATAATAATACCATCAATCTCAACTACCTCACATTATAAACTATACAATATTTTACAAATTATACATGTATGAGTCTTTTATTATAGATTCTAGTCTTGGG